GTTTAAATTGAATACCGAGTCGTTTTCTTCAGCCTGCCATGTTTTCTGGAAGTAAACTAACAGGGGAACTTAACAATATTTAATAGTTTTTGAACCTCATTCTTTATGCATTTCCAGTCTTACAGCTTTGATCCTACTGTCACCCAATTTTTATGTAAAATAAAATATTTCAAACAAACAGGAAAAGTTTAAATTTAAAATTTGTTTAAAAACAGGAAAACTATATGTAATAAAGAAAAAAAAATACAACTGATTTCTGGATAGTCCAAAGTGATATTCATAGACTTTGAAGGACAGGGTGAGGAATGTGTTTCATTCCATTTCAATTTTCTATTTTGCTTTTAAGCACACACAGGATGTTGCAACCCCTGGGAAATGTCAAAGTCTGAGTCAAGTCACATAAAAGTAGTAAGAGTGTTTCTGAGCTGCTGAGCATGTGTCTAGTTTATTTCCAAGCACGATCCAAAGTTTGTGTATTAAGTTTCATTCAGCATGCACGCTGAAGCCTTAGTAAATGCAGATATTCTGAACAGGTGTTATTGGGTGGGGAGGGTGGAACTGGCCCTGCCACTAATGACACTATAAACATGCAAGGCTAAATTATCAAAACTTTGCATCAACATTATATGCCCAAAAATGCGTTGTGCATGATTAACCACGTACCAGATCTGTAGCTAAGCAAGCAATGAATTTGCAGTGCTGTTTGTGCAATGCTGAAGTTTTATTTTATTATTTGCAATGCTGAAGTTATACTTTATTTATTGCATTCTGCATGGGTGAGGGCGTGTTGTGAATATTTTGTACAAGATACTTGATTTGTTCGTTTTCCTAAATTTTGTTCGGGCTTTCCTTCCCAGAACAAAATACTCAGACTTTCAATTATGTAAATTTAGACTAAATTGGGCTCATTGACACAGGTGTTTTAATGCACGCAGTCTCAGTCTCTGGACTGTGGCCTGGAGCTCCTCCCAGAGCCCCCCCAAGGGATGACAAGTTCAAACGGTTATAAACTCCTGCAAGAGTTTACGACTCTTGGATGCACGACTCCTGTCATGCATCCACAGATGCATTTCAAGCAGGACCAAGGAGGTGATCCTCCGCCTCTATGCGGCACTGGTCAGGCCGCAGCTGGAGTACTGCGTCCAGTTCTGGGCGCCGCACTTTAAGAGGGATGTGGACAGCATCGAGAGGGTCCAGAGGAGGGCCACTCGCATGATCAAGGGACAGCAGGGCAGGTCCTATGAGGAAAGGTTACGGGACCTGAACCTGTTCCGCCTCCAGAAGAGAAGGCTGAGGGGGGATCTTGTGGCCTGCTATAAACTAGTCAGGGGGGATCAACAGGCACTGGGGGAGTCCCTGTTCCCCCGAGCGCCGCCAGGAGTGACCAGGAATAACGGTCACAAGCTGGCGGAGGGAAGGTTCAAGTTGGACATCAGGAGGTGCTACTTCATGGTCAGGGCGGCTAGGGTCTGGAACCAGCTTCCAAGTGAGGTGGTGCAGGCTCCCACCCTGGGGGTTTTTAAGAGGAGGTTAGATGATCATCTTGCTGGGGTCGTTTGACCCCCAGTACTCTTTCCTGCCATGGCAGGGGGTCGGACTAGATGATCTGCCCAGGTCCCTTCCGACCCTAGAAACTATGAAACTATGAAGACCATCTCAAGCTGGACATAAGGAAGAACTTCTTTACTGTCCGAGCCCCCAAGGTCTGGAACAGCCTGCCACCAGAGGTGGATCAAGCACCTACTTTGAACACCTTCAAGAAGAAATTGGATGTTTATCTTGCTGGGATCCTATGACTCCAGCTGACTTCCTGCCTTCGGGCGGGGGGGCTGGACTCGATGATCTGCCGAGGTCCCTCCCAGCCCAAGTATCTGTGAAATGCACGTTAGCACATTGTAATGCGCATTAAGGTATCACTGAAAAACTGTACTCTTTAAGACAGGCTAATGCGCATTTTCCTACATAGTAGAATAATACCTGACAATGGAGGGCATTTTTACATGTGGTGTGGGACCCAATGCCAGGCGCTTTAATTAACAAACTGTGCTAATTAAAAGCACCCATGTCATGTGTATCAGCATCCCCATGCTGAAAAAATGGCAGTGGGGCACTTTGAACTAGAGCTTATGGAACGTGCTTTATTTCGAAGTGTCCCACCGCCATTCCTTCAGCATGGAGACACACAGTGATGCTGATACATGTGACGTGGAAGGCTCCTTGAGTGTGTCAAGTTTTGTGCCCCTGCAGACTTGATTAATCGAGTCTGCTCCAACGCACTGAATTTCTAATGCATCAGAGCAGGCTCTGTGCACATGTATAGGAGTCCGGAGGTACTAGATTTAATGCGCATTAACTAAGCACATTAATGCATGTGTAGACACACCCAGTACTGAGATTGGAGTGAAGAATTTTTGCTGGGGGTGAGATGGAAGGGCATCATGTAAAATGGTGTGTTTGGTCAGAACTGTGTAGATGGTCTGTTGGTTTCTGTTTGGGGCAGGATTCTCTTAGGCTCAGAAAATGACAAATCCTTTCTTCAAATATTTAAAGTTCAGTTTTTAATACCTAGTATTAAGTCTAGCGGTCTGCTTTTGTCAGGTCTAAATGAGCAAAGATAAAATGAAAAAGGGGTTATTATTTTTCCAGGACAGTTACAACAGAGCCACTGTACTTGAAATGGATAATGGTTTATTAACTAGAGCAAGTCCTCCCTCTCTCTGTCAGGACTTTATACACCATGTGACGATGTCCATCCTGGAATTCTTTTAATTTGGTAGCAAGCCATTGCAAGACTGTGTCGGGCTTAGCCCTGGCATGGTTTGCCTCTCACCTGTCACAACAATCTGTGATGGGAGGGTTTGGATTCTAGCCACTTGGTCTGTGTGCTGTTTGCTTTGCCTTGATGTGCCATTCTGAGACACTTACACGTCTGTGTTTTCATGTTGCCCGTGAAGTATAGTATCGAACAACAGAACCTGAGTCCCCCGTTGTCACAAGCGAGACACAAATTGATGTAGATTGCACAAGTCATCCTGGTTCAAGAAAGACTAATTCACACTGTGACAGGAACAGAGGAGGGCTACTAAGATGACCAGGGAAATAGAGTCTGTCTTAGGGAGAACGCTGAAATCTTGGCTTGTGGCCCTGAGCAAAAGAACGGTTGAGAAGGGGTAGGCTTGCTCTCTAAATACATGGAGATACAGAGGGACACCAGAGAGGGAGAAAAGCTATTTAAACCAAAGGACTATGCTGGGTCAAGAACAAATGGGTATAAACTGGCTGGGAATAAAGTTTAGGCTGGAAATTAAAAGTAGGCTTATGATAATTAGAGGATTACGGTCCTGGAACAGTCCCGATGTCCTGGGAGGCCCACTATGGTCCGGAGGCACTTGTACATGTGATGAAAATTGGTCTTTTTTGCTGTTTAATTGTGTCACACTGTACACCTGTGGGGAAGCTGCCCCAGCTCAGGCTCGGAGAACAGTTGGATTGGGCTGGGTGCTGCCTGTGAGCTGGGGCAGCACCTGCCCACTAACCACCTGCGTGGGTGGCCCCAAGGGGTGTCATCACCGTGGAGAGAAGGTCTGGGACCTCCTGCAGCTCAGGGGCCACAGGCAGCTCACCCCCCAGCTGAGGGAGATGCTGGCAGACTCCACAAAATGAAAAAAAAGGGATTGGGCCCTTCACCTTAACAGTGACGGAAGCCCCTAAATTGAAACAGAGGGTTTTTAATCACCACAGTTAAAAACCCACTGTTTCAATTTAGGGGACTAAACCCCATCATGTGTACAAGCAGCCCTACAAGCCAAAGACCTGTCCTGATCCTGACCAACTCTTTTCATGATGATCAGTCTTGCAGGACAAAGCTGGGATATTAAATTAAGGCAAAACAAATAAAGAGTTCTAGATGCTTGCTCCAGCCTTGCTATAATTTGATTTTCCTCTACCGCCTCATCCTCAGCCATGGAAAGCCTTGGTGTTACACCTGCCTTGGTTGTGTACAGTACCTTCTTTCAATCACAAGAAGTTTGTGCTGATGTCTTTGAAACTGAGAGATGGGCGATCCCTGTTCAACAAGATCTGCTTCTAGCTATCGCTGCCATTTCAAGGCTTGAATATTACACATCTCCTGTTACTTGCATTACCGTATTGCTTATGGGCCCTAATCATGGATTAGGGCCTTGCTGCACTGTGCTCCCTGAAAATACAGAACCAGATGCATTCTGTAGGCATCACGTTAGGGGTCGGAAAGAGACTGTGGTAGCTCTGCACATGTTTTCAGGGAGCTCCTCCCATGTAAGAGGGCAACTTGAGAAGCACAAAGGTGATTGTTTAAAAATATAATAAGTATACAATGGAGGCTAGCATCCAGGCACAACTGAAGGTGGGAACTGATCTCTACAAATAATAAGGTAGGGTGGGGATAAGTCATTAAAGGACCTCAAAGACAAGACAGAGGTGGGGGAACCAACGGAGCAATTGGAAAGAGAGGGGTGACGAGGGCGAAGCAACAGGCACTCGAGATTGCCAACTGAGTCTGGTCCTTTAACACACATGTAATGTTACAGCTTCACCACAGATCTGACTTCCAGCTGGCCTAAACCCACCGCAAATTGCAGTGTCGACCTGATTATTCTTTACCTGCACTGCAAAAGTAAAGCTGTGATTTCTGAACAGCAGGGACCCAACTTTGCTCTTGATTAAACCAATGGCAAAACTCCAAGC